AAAAAAACGCATTCAATTAAAATATACTTTTTGTTTTTGAATTATTTTTATAATCATCCAGATAAAGTAACTGGTTTCTCACTACCATAATTCATTGAATCTGTTCGATACATAGCTGAAGTAGCATAAGCTGATGTTGAACTTGACATTGGTTGAACATATGGAGTATCTATTGGACAATATTTCGTATCTTTAGCATTGACATGACTTGGAGTAACAAATTGTTCACCTTAAAAATATAAAACTAAAATATATAAATCAAGAGAAAAAAAAATCAATACATACGAGTTTCTGTTGTAAGACCTGAATGAGGAATAAAACGTGCTGGTTGATGAACTTGTCGAATTTTTGTTGGTGTTGAAAACCATATTGAATCACGCATTGGTAATTGTTCACGTTCAACACTATCTATAGGTAATGGATTTTGTGCATTACCAAAACCCCATGCTTTAGGATATTCTTCAGCATCCCAATAAGATAATGGATCTTTTTTACCAATACCTTGGCATTCATCTCTAGATAAAAATTTTTATAAATTAATTTTTCTCTCTCTCTCTTATGAAGACATACTTTCTCCATCGACGATGTTCTTTGTTATATGTTGTTAAATAAGGATCAAGAAGTGTATAAACACCTTGTTCTGATGGATCCCATGTCCGAGCAATTGATGGTGGTTTTACTTGCCGTTGATCTTCACGTAGAGCCTAAACATAATTTATTTAATTTTTTCTTTTTTTTTAAAAAAAAAAAGAAACTTTTACTTTAGTGACAGGTGCTTCGGATTGTGTTAAATAAGGTAATTGTCCATCAATACGATCTAATTCTGCTTTTATATTTGGTTTCATATCATATTCTTCTTTATATTCACTTTTTTGATGAGACATTGATAATGGACGACTCCAATCACGTGCTTTAAGTTTTTCAACAAAATCACTCATGTAATTTACTTAATGTAAAAAAAAAAATTTCAATTGTTATATTAGACATGAAAAAAAAAACATATCAATTATATACCTTTCCATAAGGCTGGTGCTTTTTTATGCATATTTACTTGATCATTATATATTTCTTGTTGAGGATATTTATTATCATAAAAAGCAGCATTTGTTGTTTTAAAATGTTCTTGTGGTGTAACTTCATCAGGAGCACGTAATCGATTTGGTAATGGATCAGTTAAAACTCGCTAATAATTTTAAAATAATCAAGATTAAAATAATATAAAGAAATAAAAAAAACGAAAAAAAAAAACAAACCTTGAAATTCGATGATGGAAAATAATATCCTGGTCGATATTGATGACCAACACCAGTACTTGTTTGAAAAAGATCTTGTCGACGTTCAGCAGAATTTGAATCAAGCATTTTACTTTCTTAGTTGATAAGAAAAATAAAATCTCTACAAACCAACAACTTTTCATTGTCAACTATCATGAAATTTTGTTACTAAGCAATTTCATTTATTCGATTTTTAATTGTCGCTAGTTGACAATAACAACAAAAAAAAAATAATCTGAGATATAATTGGAATATATTTTTATCCAATAATACAAAAAAGAAAACTAAATATTACAATATCTTACAACGTCATCAATTCGTTTACTTTCATAATTTCATGATGATGTTTGCAAGTGATGGATTTCTTACTGATAATTCTTCATCTACCAATACGGGTCAAACACATGTATTTACATCATTTCCTAATTCTGCTGTAGACGTTGATGATGAACATTCAGGAAATAAAACAATAAATCAATCTGATTCAAATCAATATACACTTCCATTACCAGCTACTGCAAATGAAACAACATCTGAACAATATCATTTGTGGCAAATTGAATATTATCAAAAATATTTTCAAGTCGATACACGACAAGTAGTTGAACGTTTAATTGGTTCAATAACACCAAGACCAAATAAATCTTATTTTGATTCAACTATTAGACAAAATCCTGATTTATATGGACCATTTTGGGTTTGTGTAACTTTTATATTAACTGTGGCGATTAGTGGAAATATCGTAGATTATTTTCATAAATCTGCAACTGAATTTCAAATTGATTTTTCGAAAATTACTCTATCAGCACTTGTAAGTAAAGTAGAAAAAAAATCTAATGTCTAAATGTAAATTGTTTTTTTTTGAATGAATAGCTTATTTTAATTTATTGGTGGTTAATGCCAACAGCTATTTATTTTTTTTTTCGTTGGCGTTTAAATCGTATTGAATATACATTCCTTGAATTACTTTGTATTTATGGTTATAGTTTAACGATATTTATACCAATATCAATATTATGGATAATACCAATAAATTGGTTACAATGGACATCAACATTAATTGCATCAATTATAAGTGGTAGTGTTTTAATTGTTACATTTTGGCCAACAATTAATTCTGATCATAAACGTTTTAGTGCTTTATCAATGTTAATTATTCTTTTCGTACATTTATTAATGGCACTTTGTATTATGTTAGTTTTTTTTCATGTATCTGATAAAAATATTAATCCAACGACAGAAACAACGACCGTTTTTACAACAGTTTTATCAACGACACCAAAATAACAGTGAATTTTCCATTAAATATTCTTATTTATATTATGGTGATTTTTGCTTGTTTTCACAAATAAAATTATAACAAAATATATATATGTTATTATTTCTTTTTTGCTTGTTTAATTATTATAATTGAATTTTTATATTTTAGATAGAAATAAATTTGATCGAAATAATATTAAGTCGAATGAAGTTGCTGTAACACACAATGGGCAACAACGCGGACGTTTGATGAAGAAATTGAAAGTGATATTTTTTTTTTACGATTTGAATAATGTCCAATATATTGTGGCCAATGGCAGAGTTTTTTATTTAAAATATCCTAGGTCCAGTTTCTATTGTCTTAGAAAAAGTATGTATACTTTCTCAACTAACGATTTTCTAAAAAGTCGGTACGCATACTTAAGCACAGTTTCAAACTCAATGCAACTTTCATAAAATATTTTTTTTTCTGTCTGCCATGTCTATTCAGTTAGTATAAATGCTTAGAGACTGAGATACAGGTTTTCCACATTTTTCTTTTGTCTCAGAGAAAAATAAGAATATATTTGGAATCATTAATTACAAATGTAAATAGTGCTTAGAATAGTCAATGCATTTCATAGATGAACTATGAGTGAAAGGTTTTTGAAAAACCAAACATGATAGTTTTCAGGTTCCCGACAATTGTGAGATATTTAAGGGAAGATCGTAGGAAATGCAATAAATCTTCGTTTTATTCAGGATTGTGTATTCTTAAAAACTGATTTTCATACAGTCTATGTGGACCTGAAAATTACTTTATTTAGTTTTTTTCAGAAACTTTTCTCTTATAGTCTATCTATGAAATGCATTGACTATTTAAATCACTATTTGAATTTATGTTACATGATTGAATCAATAATATTGTATTATGAATGTGTAACACTCGAGCTTATTGAGAATTTTATTTTTTGTAGACTTGTTTTCAGATAAGATTTTTTAAAAGAAATAACTATGCCACCTAAAAAGAAAGAAGAAGCTAAACCAAAACCACTTATTGGTCGTGTTGG